CTTCCTGCCCCTGGGGCAGGGGGCTGGACTCAATGATCCTCCAAGGTCCCTTCCAGCCCTAATGTCTATGAAATCACTGAAAACATAGGATTTGACCTACAATCTGCTGCAGGGGTTACCACCCTGCAGCGCACATGCTACAAGTGATATAGGCAGCCTTTGTGTTTGGCACATGGCAGATCGGTAAGAGGACAAGTAGCAGAGTGGAAGATAGGGCAGGAAACAGATATCACAGCAGCAGATGGGGTGGGGAGCACAGGGAAGGAAGCAGAAAGCAGAGCAGTAGGTCACACTGAGGAAGGATTGAAGTAGTACTCAAGGAGGGTATGGGGCTAATTTGTGTCACACCTGGCAAAAAAGTTGGTCTCCACTGGATTATCAACTTGCAGTATACCTAGAGGAATTCATGAACAAGAATACTTTAAAGGAATGTGTTCCCTCCACACAATTTAAAATTCATCTTTACTGTCCCAAGATGTATTTATTTGTAGATGATCATAGGATCACAGGAAAGTACTGCTGGAAGGGACCTTATCAGGTCATCTAGTCCACCCCCCTGCTCAAGGCAGGATTCTGATTAAACACTTGAGTGTGATGGTTTAACTTGCTCTTGAAAATTTCTAAGGAAGGAGATTCCACAACTTCTGTAGGTAGCATTGGAAGAGGCTACTATGTGAACTCACAGTTCTTTTTGCCAGCAAGATAAAATCCCGCCTGGGCCGTGACATCCAGGTATATATTGCACTTTACAATTCCATGTCAAATTTAAGTTTAGATAGCAATACCTCCAGATTGTCAGGAAGACTCTGGCTGTCTACTAATTGGGAGCTTATAGCAATGTAGGATTTTAAAAATAAAAATATGCCATAAAAAAATCTGTGACACCTCAATGTAAAGACCTCTCTCCTGTTTTTTCTTCCATTTAATATGCATGCTATATGGTAAGGAGTAAGTAAGCAGGTCTATACAAGAGGAACCATGGGAATATTTAGAACTGAAGGCTACTGTGAGAGATGAACATTATTTTTTCTTTACTGCTTTTCAATCTTTTCAAGCAGTAAATGGAAACTTTTTTAAATGACATCCATATAACTAGTTAAAAAGACATTAATGGTTTAGGACAGGGGTGACCAAATCTAATGTTTTTAGCCAAAGAGTGCATCTACACATGCTATTAGCAGAGCAATAAACTTTAGTACATATAGCACCAGAATTTATTGCTCCCAGGCACCATGTTTACACATGCACCTGAGACCACAGCACATTGAGTAGGGTTGGAGCAGTCCCAGCTAGCAAGGGACCAGGGGGTCAGCTTGCCAGCCCAGGGCTGCTCTGACCTGGCTCAACATGCTGCTGAGGGACAGTCTGGGGCACAAAGGTGCTACAGTGCAGGGCTAGCTGGCAGGCAGCTCCCACACTGAAGCACCCTCATGCCCCAGCCAGCCCTGTCAGCATCTATACATGTGTTGCTCCACACTAAAAAATGCTGCCCTAGGATAGTACTTGTGTTTATAATAACTACTAACCTATAACAGAGTGTATTACTTTACTGCAGCCTAAAAGGACCACACATGTAGATGCTGAGACTTTACTGAGGAGCTAATTAGGCAGCCAGTAAGGACTAAATCCACTCTTTCTGAGCATGAATGCAGAAAATGATAAAGGGTATCTGTGAAGTTTTGGACAGAAACTAAACCTACTTTGGGCAAATGATTGTCTCCCAGGAAGGGCATCAATTTAGGCAGTAGCAACATGGCAAGATAGTCTGTAGCTTGGATGATGCTATAATAAATTGCAAAACTAATGGAAGCAGACACAGGGCACAGGAAGAGAATGAAGAAAGAAATAATTGCACAGTAATTGTTCTTATCACAGATTATTTACAACTAGGTGAAGAACAGAGGAAATGCAAGACCTCCCAGCCTGAAGACACATACCATTACTTGGAAAATTTGTTTTTCACTTGTCACTCTGAGATATGGGGAAAGAATCTAGTCCAGCTATTTCCCAGGTAGATTACCTCTCAGTGGGCGCATCTACACATGCAATTATGTGACACAATAAACTCTGGCACATATGGATGTTTACACGTGCACCTGGGGACTGCAGCATGTTAAGCTGGGTCGGAGCAGCCCTAGTTCACAGGGGGCCCAGGGGGTCAGCCTGCCAGCCCAAGGCTTCTCTGACTTGGCACAATGTGCTGCAGAGGGGCTGGCTGGGGCATGAGGGTGCTCCAGTGTGTGCCTCAGCCAGCCCTATCAGTGTCTACACGTGTGTTTCTGCACACTAAAGAACACCACTGTAGGATGTAAACGTAAGTACTAACCTATGGCGGAGTTAATTAGTTTAGCCAAATAGGGCTGCATGTGTAAACACTTTACTGTGGAGCTAATTAACCAATTCTGCAGGAAATGTCTCGTGTAGTTGGGTCCAGTTTGTATCCACTTTGGTGCATGGACACATATACTGGAGGGAAGATACCAAGTTTCTACCCACTCCCTGGTTCTGCCCACCTGCATAAAAGGGAACGTGAAATGGATCTGAAGGCAACCTGGAAGATTTTAATACTTTGAGATCCTTTTACAGTTTTCCTGCCACTGAACTCATGGCTTTACATTATCACTGGGTTGTTTTTTCCCCCGCCTCGATTGTCCACATACTTTTATTTAAAGGGATGATGTATGTAAGATACTCTTTCAAGACCCTCACAGCAGAGGTGTGATTTGCATGTATTCATTTCTTGCTGCTGCTGTGGTGTTGCATTACCCAGGTACTACAGGTAAATGGTCCCATAATCCATACTTAGAAGTACATAAATAGGAAGTTTCCTATAGGATTCAATGCTGGGACTAAAACCCAGAGGTTTCTGGTTAGAGAGTCTTGCCCCTCCACTCAAGGTCAGACCAAGTGCCATGTTTGGAATCGGGAAGGAATTTTACTCCCTTGTTAAATTTGTATGGATTGTGGGGGCTTTGTCTTTCTCAGCGGGGGGGCCGGCAGCTGTCTTCCTTGGATCTCTCAAGTAAATTTTAACAGCCCTTGTAGTGGCGGGACGCTGATGGCCTTCATCTCCCAGCTTTACCTGTGGAAGGTTAGGTTGCTCTTGGTGTTTTGGAGCAATATGACTTGTAGTTGTGTGACAAGGGTTTATTGTTTACTTTTAGGAATAGGTTAGACAAGCACTTTTATGAGATTCTAGACATGCCCCCACTGATACTTTTATATCAGGGGTTGTCAACCGGGGGTTCGCATACCCCTGGGGGTACTTGGACTGGTCTTAGAGGGTACTCGCAGGCGGGCAGGGACAGAGCATCGCCGCCTCCCAGGAGCAGTGCCAGGGCAGAGCAAGGATAGTGCCGCCCCTCTGCAGGGTAAGAAGCTTGTATGATGTGGCCGCAGCCACCACACACCAGTCCAGCAAGCTTTCCAGCCCCACAGAGAGGTGCTGTTGACCTCACCCTAGCCTGGTGAGCTTACCTGCCCTGTCCTGGCCCTGCTCCTGGGCGGTGGCAGTGCTCTACCCCCACCTGCCCATGCGCTGTCCCTGACTCCCTGCTCTGTGTCTGGCCATGCCCCCCCCCGGGCTCAGCATTTGCCTGTGCACTATCCCCCTTTGCCCTCCCTCTGCCCTTGGCATCTGGTCACCAGGGGTACTTAGATTTTAAAGGGTTGAAAACCCCTGTTTTATATCTTTTATCTGCCTTTGATACCATTCACTGCACCATTGCTGGTGCATCTACACAATATTGTGGCAACATGTATGAGTCACTGCACGTTTTACTTTGGCCTGGATTCCAAAGGGTTATTTTGTGAGATCGTTCATCTGTTGTGTGGGTGGGGTCATCTTTTTCTGTTACCTCTCCCATCCATTGTGTGTGAAGGGGAGACGGGTAAGATGGGTTGGACTGAAGTCAGCATACCAGTGAGTCTCAGCTCTGTATCAATACAGTCCTCTAATTTTACAATGAGTTGTGTATAGATGTATTTTACTTTTGCATACTAATTTCCTTTTGCTTAGCTTGGTGGGTAGAAAAGGTAAGTAGTTTTGGTTCCCACTAAAAACTTAGTGTTACAGGCCTATGTACTGGCCTCTGGCTGCTTTACCACTCCAGCCAGGAAGAGCACAGACCATCTGCAGACACTTCCTCAGCCTGACCTAGGGTGTTTGTGCCCAAAAGTTTGCTAAGAAGAATTTTTTCCAATTATTTGAGTTGGTCTAATAAAATATATTGGATTTACTCAAAGAACCTTGTCTTACAGGCCTAGAGGCTTTTGAAAATCAAACTAAACTTACCTGCCTCCAAAGCCATATAAAGGCCTTAAGAATCTACCTCCAGTTGTGTTTGTAACTCTTACCTTCTGTTTCAGTTAAAGTGGATTTGATGTAACTGAATCACTTCTAAAAATGAGACTGCTTACAAATTATTTCGGCATTTTTGAATTTTTTCATCAGTTCAAAACTCTAATTGACTTCAATAGGAACAGCCTAAGGCCCTTAAATATTGAGTGAGGAATTTGTTATGTTTTGTTTTTTTGAATCTTTAACCCTCTTCATGGAGCATCAGTACTGTATTTCTACTTTCGAGGGTTAGCAAACGAAGTTGAGGACTAAGGGTGGGGTTTATAGCCGGGAAGCCATAGGTAAGGTTAATCAGTCTGTCAGCTCATTAAGGAAACTCTTTCCACAGGATTTATATAAAATATAATGTGTACAATGGTTCTTGGTAAAATACACGCCAGGAACATGCTAAAAAGGAATAGATAGCATGAGCCAGATTTGCTGTGCCAGAGAAATGAAGTTTATTAGCATAAAAAAATTCATTGCATCTTGATGTTAAGAAAAGCAGAATAGAAGAGGGAAACTTCAAAAGTAGAAACAGGCTGGGTTAAGAACCTGGCCAGTACATTTCAGTGTACAAAACTTTGGTAAGAAGCCTTGAGTAAGGTCCCAAGCAAAGAGAAGAAGTATGATTCTTCTCTCAGTTGCTTGATTCGGTTTTTGCTTTGATGCCTTGGATAAGTTTGCTGCGGATGCTGGAGATTTGTAAAGTGGGAAAATACTTCTGGAGACATGGGTTGCTGATACAACAGGCAGCATGGGACTTGCAGCAGAGTAGAGCCAAGTTCAATTCTTTTTCTGGAACAATGGCTCTATAGCTAGAGGAACAAGCAGGTCATGAACATTGGCTTTGGTGCACAGAGTGGTTTACCAGATGGAGTTTGCACAGTCTGGATTACAAACCAGAGACAGCTGGGCAGCCTGGGAAGAACAACAATATTTTGGAGAGATTTAAGTATCTAGAGAATAGACTTCAAAGGAATCAATATTAAATGTAAAAGAAATAAATACAAACAACATGAAGAATATATTATGTAAGAGATTTAAATCCAGAAAGAATTGACCCGATAGGAACCATTTTCTATTATGTTTTTGAAGCAGAACAAATTATACTGAGATGCTGGGACTCTTTATGCAGTAGCTGGGAATGAAAGGAGATTCTCTTTGGAACCATTCAAAACTAGACATAACTTCGGCGCTTAGAACAAATTACTTTTTTCCCACCATCAAATGCAAAGATACATTAAGCATCCCCAAAGTTAGTCTGAGCTATTTGCTCTGTACCATGGAATAAATGGAGGAAGAAACAATACGTGGAAGAATCCAAGTTGGAAATGATGCAAATGAGTGATGCACATTTCCGATCTAATCTCCAAGTGAAACAGCAATTTCAGCAGAAGAAAGTGTGCTTTAGAAAATTCACTAATCCTTTCAGTTGATCTGTGCCTCAGCTAAAAAGGAATTCTGAAGAAATCCAGAAAGACTTTCTTAACTATACAGGTAAGGTACATAAAGCACTGAGGGCCTTTTTATTTTTAAAACATTACTTCTAATCGTATTGGCAGATCTTTGTATAGATGGGTACTTACTATCAGCAGATTTGTGTCTGTGTATCACTTGTGTGATATGCCTTGCAGTCCTCTTCATCCAGTAGCCTACGGTAAGCACTAATCTCACAATCCAGCTGGCTCTTCACATCCAAGAGGACCTTGTACTCACTGTTTTGGTGTTGTATGTTAGACCGAAGTTCTGCAAGCTGTGCCTCCATGTTGCTAATCAGACACTGGAGCTCTGACAGCTGGTGGCTATAGCGGGCTTCAGTATCTGTCAAGGTGCTTTCCAGAGCAGTATTCTGAAAAGGGGGCAAGGGTGGGATGGAATAAAGAGTATAAGGAGTGCTGCTATTCATATAGGCCAGATCTGCGCTTTGCCTGTGTACTCTGAAAACAGACCCAGTTAGTTCTATTCCATTTTCAGCGTCCATTTTGTAGGCTAGGGAATTCTGGCTGACCTATGAGATCCATGTTTTCAGCACCTATCATAACATGAGCCTGCAGCAACTCAGTGGGGCATCTCTGAAAGACTTGATGGAGGTGCCTGATTTAAAATCCCCACTCTAAGATTGGATGTGTCAGGGCCTTCCTCCCACAGTGCCACATAGCCAGCTGTCACAAACATGTCTGGAATCTGGTTGTCATTTCAGTGTAAGAGAATCCCTAGATACACAGATAAATGAGCAGGGTGTCGGACATGGGTCATTTTCAGGGATGCCAAAGGCATAGTGAGTGCTCAGTGTTACGCACCAGGCTGTGCTGGGTCTGCAGGTCGATCTCCAGAGCCTGAACAGTGTGTTTTAGCTGAATGATCTCATTTTGGCAGCCTTGCAGCTGTTCTTCATCAGAGATCACTTCCTTATTTAGTTCCTCCATCTGAAACATAGCCGGATAAGTTAGACAACTCTGGCTCCATTTTAACAAACAGTTGGGCATTTTTTGAGCTTGGAATTTCTTGGTGATTTGTCTACCATGAGATGCCCACCTGAGTGTGGTACCAGTCCTCAACTTCACACTGGTTTTTTTCAATTAAGGTTTCGTACTGGCATCTTATCTCCTCCAGGACCTTGTTCAGGTCACATGATGGAGCTGTATCCAACTCTACATTAATACAGTCACCAAGCTGATGTCGAAGTGGACTAGCTTCCTAGGGGGATGGAAGAATAAGAGAGTAAACATTTAGAAGGGATCTATTTTTCTCATTCCCATCAAACACCACCTATGGATATCTCCTATGCTCTTGTAGTGGCCTTTCTCATTTCTAACCTCTTGATCACCAACAATGCAGGTCAATACAAATTCTACTACAGAAATAGAAGTTAACACGATCATTTTCCTATACCCTCCTCCAAAATTCATTTTCCAGTGTTTTAAAGTGCAGGAGAGAAATTCAGCAAATGTTCCTGATTTTCTAAGAAAGCCAATTATTTCTTTTTTGAAAAAAAAGTACATTGTAAAGTGAGTGGAGGTAATAAGAGTACCAGAGTAGGATGTTTTAAATACTGGAGAATGAAAGTAGAGAGTATGTGCATGTTATTAGGAGTACTTTAGATGATATCCAAGATAAAATTGGATGAAGCTTTACAGGCCTTTAGATAAAGGAATGCTGGTAAATTCTTTATATGACAAAGACTTGACAAATGAAGTCCTAACAGCAACCAGTATAAACAATTTTAAAGAAAAAGTTAAATGGAGCTTCACTCACTGTTGACCACAAATGCTATCTGCAAATAGTGGCTGAAACAAGAATGTTGGCCTCTTATCTATAAAGCCATTGTATCTCTTCTTAGATCTAATAAATACTTATATGTTTCCACATCTTAATTTATGTTACTGTTTAGTCACTGTTCATTCTTACTTCCTCATGGTTCTTCCTGAGGCAGAGGAGCTCCTCTGTTAGGGACTCAAGCTCTGTCTCCAGATCAGTCTTGCATAGGGTCAGGTCATCCAGAAATCTATGCAGACTACTGATGTCTGCCTCAGCACTCTGGCAAAGCCCACATTCGTATTCATACCTTTTGAACGAAACAAGAGTAACAGTAAATGAACTGTGTGCAAAAAACCCACCTCATTTTCAATGTAAGTCCTCTATTGTATCATTTCTACTTATGAAATAAAATGATATATTTATATATCTTTCCAATTTGAAGCCTATATGTGTGTGTATTTCCTGGTTTTTTTCCATTTGTTTGTAATACATTTTTTCTGAGGATCAGTAGACACTTGAATGTATGACACCCAAGACCTCTGGATCCCCCTGCATCCTACTCCCAGCAGCCCCAACCAGCCCCTTGCTGGCTGGAAGGCTGCCAGCCTACAAGGGGAAACCTGCCATTGCCCATGGTTTTCCGCGGTGAATGGAAAACCCGTATCCGTGCATGATACTGAGAATCTGGGACAAATGCAACCTGGGACCAGGACTTGATGTTCCTATTCCAGGACTGTCCAGCCCAATTAGGGATGAGTGGTACCTCTAGCTCCTGGGCTCGATCCAGACCATGGGGCTCTATCCCCACCTCTAGCGGTAGGGCAAGCGGTATCAGGGATTGTTGGAGTTAATGCAACCATTGCTCACTCCCTGACACTGACATGTCTCCAGTGGGGCTCCATACCCCATATTTCAGCAGTGGGCCCATTCCCATTCACCCAACCCCCAAATTCCAAAACATCTATAAGCCTTATGGGCCAGATTACATTGCTATTTAGGCCCTATGTTTGATACCCCTGCTTTCAATTAAAAGAGACATTTCAGAGTGGCACATGGAAGACATTTAAAGTTAGTTTAGAATCCCAGAATGATGGTTTAAAAAGACATGAGCCTCAGGCTACATGGTTAGTCCAATTTACACATACTTACTTGAAAGAAAAGTCATCAGAAGCCACTTTAACAATGTCAATATCTAGACGTAATCTGGCATTCTCAGCCCTGGCACTGCAGATCTGGAAAATGAGTTTACTACTGAGTGAAGGTACAGTAATATTCTATCCTCTCTCACTTTTAAACTGTTCTCAAAGTTACTTTTCTGTGCTTCAGAAAAAACATGTTCAGACTTTCTAGTTGCTCAAAACAGGCTGCAATCGATCCTATCAATCTGAACGTGAATTATAAAATGCCCTTGTGGGCCAATACCTGTTGCTGGAGCTCTTCAGTGGTGCTGTAGCAGGAGCTGAAATCTGTGCACACAAGAGGGGTTTGACATTCTTGCCACTCTCTTATTTTGCGTTCCAGGTCAGTATTCTCCTTCTCCAGGGATTTCACTTTCTCCAGGTAGGAAGCCAAGCGGTCATTCAAGAGCTGCATTGTCTCCTTTCCATCGCTACTGAAGATTGCTTCATTGTACCTGCAATAGGAGCCATCCAAATAGCAATTAATTGGTCTGGCAGAAGACAGAATACAAGATGATGGTACACTTGCAGGTGATAGGCAGGTTGGTAGCAAATTGCCATTGGTTTGGCTGCTGCTGGAGAAGTAAGGAGCTGCACAATATAGATTTGGTAGGCAGATATTTGGTTGATAGTAGTTAATTGAATAGCTGGCTGGCAGTTGGCTCCTTATGCCAGAAGAGCAAACTGAGACACTCTTGGCACATGAGATGTATGGGACTTTGCAAGAGCTCCTGATAAATCCCCATGTGCTAGCTGGGGTGCAGCCCTTGAATAACATAGTGTTAGCAGTTTAGTAAAGAATAGCTTTAAGCTTTCAGAGTATTTAGAAAGCCCCAGTTATCCAATTCAAAAATCTATTTTCTTGCTAGAATTTTATACTCTCTGCTGTGTGAGGTGGCTTGTTTGAGAAGCTTCCCCCCCTTGTTAATACATGTGGCAATTTGTATAAAACCTTCTTCTCAGACTGTTTAATTGTTCTTGAAGCATTTTTTGCATGTAAAACAAGTTTTAGTTTGGCTTGCCAAGTCAGGAGTCATCACTGGAAGACAGATGTTTGTCACTTGAATAATAGCTTTGCTTGCCCTTTCAAAGACACCTGTCAATTAGCCAAACGCTGAATAACTGGGCGTAGGTACACAGAAAACCATTTCATGTTATATATTACAAATTGACTCCCCTCTAGTTGTCCCAGCTTAGCAAACTGGATAAAATATTAATTATATTTTTCTCTACTTAATGAAAAACTACAACATGTTTGAATAGGAATATTCCAAAATATTCCATGACATGTGAGCATGTAAATTATAATTGAAGTTTGTTGAGGAGAAACTGTAGTTACACCATCAGGTACCCTGAATGACAGATTAACACTGACGGACAGAAGAGCAAAGTGAAATGAGTAACAAGAAGAGAAGACAGGTAACTGAAAATGGCAAAAAGCAGGAATAGAATTAGTAGAATGGAAAGAAAACCAGTCACAAGTAAATTCACCTGAACTCCTACCCCTCACTGAACTGATGATTTGGGTTGCTGCTTCATCTGTACATTGTTTTCCTATTAAAAATCAATGCTATAGCCCAGTTTTCTCACCTAGATGAGAGCAAAATATTTGGCACGTGCATCTCTTCTTCAGTAAGGATATTCTTGTCTCTAAGGGCCTTGTTACACGTTCACTTTAAGTGGCTCCTGGAGCTCTTAACCCCTGGATTGTCCACACATTAACACCTGAAACTAGTTTTAAGCACTCTTTAGAGCTAGGGACAGACATTACACACAAACCGGTTTAAGTGATCAGAAACTGGTTTAAACCTGCCTGTAACAGAACAAACATTCAGTACAAATAAACTAGTTTCAAAATGGCTGAAACCAGTTTGAAATAAACCCGGTTGAATGCAGTATTAGATTTAAGTGATCAGGCTCAAACCAGTTTATGCAATGTCTGTCCCAGACCCCTTCCTGGTTTAAATTAAACCAGACTCCCCTAGCATCCTGGCATGCTCTCTGGGCTGGGATCTCTGCTCCAGCCCAGCCAGGCTCGCCCTGCCCCTCAGCTCCCCAGCCAGAGCAGGGACAGAAAGGGACAGGTGTCTGGCCAGAGAGGAGTTTAATTCCCCCCTCTCTATCCCACTAGAAGGGACCCGAGGTAGGTCTGCTGGGCGTTCCACCCTCGCTGCTGCAGCAATGGGGCACCATGGCCCCTGAAGCAGAGGGGGGCAAGGAGGTGAGTTAGTCTCCTCTCTACCCCACTGACAGCTGGGGCTGCCCACCGTCACCGCTGTGCTCACTCCCTGTGGCAGAATAGGCCCCTGCTGTCCCTTCCACTGGACACTGGAGGGAGGAGGAATAACCCCCATCCCACCACTGCAGCAGGAAGGGTCAGGGCCCTTTTTTGGGGCAGCAGCCCCTGTCATAATGTTGGGGAGTGCAAGCCTCTTCCCAGCAGCAGTACTGCAGCACTGGGGTCCAGAGCAGGCCAGAGTCCTGCAAGACCCCTGCAGTGCCACCATGATCTACAGCAGCTCTGCTAGCCCTGCAGCATGGCACCTGCTGGGAAGAGGCTTGTGCTTGGGTAAATGGGGATGGGGGCTGCTGCCTCTGTCATGGTGGCTGCCCCCTTGCCACTCCAGCAGCCAGGCAGGGGCAGGGCCAGATGCCACCAGGAGGGCCTCTCGGGGTGGAGAGAGGGAGAGGGGTATTTCCCTGTTGTGCCTCTGGGGCGTTGCAGCCGGGTCTCCATGGCCCAGCTGGTACCGCTGCTCGGTCTGTGCTTGGGGCAACGTCTAGCAGAATAAGCCCCCTCCTGCCAGGAGGGGGTTGGCCCCGAGCACAGACCGAGTTTGCCCGCTGCTTGGCTTGCAGCTGCTGCTCAGTCTGTGCTCAGGGCCAGAATCCACTGGACACTGCCTTGAGTGCAGACCGAGTGGCGACTGCAACCTGGGTGGGCAAACCTGGCTGCGGTGCCCCTGGGGCAGAACAGGAAATAACCCCACTCCCAGCCCCCACCCTCAGAGGCCCTGCTGGCGGCATATGGCCACGCCCCCGCCCAGCTGCTGGAGCGGCGAGGGGAGGGGCACCATGACAGGGGCAGTGGCCACCATGACAGGGGCAGTAGCCCCCGTCCCCGTTCCCCCAAGCATGAGCCTCTTCCTGGCAGGGGCCATGCAGTGGGGCCAGCAGAGCTGCTGCAGAGCATGGTGGCACTGCAGGGGGCTTGCAGGGCTCTCGCCCACTCCGGGCCCCAGTGCTGCCATGCACAGCCCACCGCAGCTCTGCCTTCCTTGCAGTGCAGCACCCCTGCTGGGAAGGTGCTCATGTTCTCCAACATTATGACAGGGGCTGCTTCCCCAAGGCCCTGCCCCCTCCCGCTGCAGCAGCAGTACAGGGGCACAGCCAGACAGGGCCCTTTGGGGGAGGGGCCAGGGACAGGGTTTATTCCTCCTTCCTCTAGCGTCTGGTGCAGGGGACAGCAGGGGCCTATTCTGCCACAGGTAGTGAGCGCGGTAGTGATGGTGGGCAGATCCAGCTGCCAATGGGAGTCGAGGGGAGACTAACTCTCCTCCTTGCCCCCCTCTGCCTCAGGGGCCCCTGCAGCTGTGAGGGGGGAGTGCCCGGCAGACCCGGCTAGGGTCTGTGCTGGTGGGACAGGGAGGGGGGAATTAAACTCCTCCCTGGCCAGTTCAGCCCAGACTGGCCACACTCTCCAGCATAGATCCCTGTAGCTAAAGGTGTGCTCTAGCATCCCCCAGTGCCTAGCCTGAGCAACTGCAGGCATTAGCCTGCATTTTCTGAGTCCAGAGAGAATATTTGTCCTGTTACCACCTGGTTCAACCTAGGCAGGTTAAACTAAGCTTATGTGGCTTAAAGTTATGCCACTCAGGACAGATTTATCTCTGATCTGTGTTGCCCAGCTGTGTTTATCCACTCTGGGCTACACCTTAGTGTAAACATCCATCCTACTTCTCTTCCCCCACCAGTCCAGATTGGGCCCACCCTTCCCAGGACCCCAGATTCCCACTCACTGTCCCGCTACCCTCCTCACCCCCTGCTTACATGTGGCTTCCCTTGCTGTCTGTCCCCAGGGGAGCAAGCAGGGAAGGCTTAACCTACCTGCCCAGCCACCACTGCCACCCTTGCTGCTCTATGGGCCTGGCTCAGCCAGGTGAAAAGTAACCTGGTGGCAGCCACTGCTGGGGCTTGGCAGGCAGATTAATCCTTTCCTACCTGTTCCCCTGGGACAGACAGTATGGCCAGTCACAATTAAGCAGGGGAGGAAGATCTGGGTGTGGGGTGGAGTACAGGGGAATCCTGAGGGGCAAGGGGAAGCAGGGGAGCCCTGGGGGCAGAGAACAGGAGAGGAAGCTTGAAATGGGAGTGGGTGATTCTTACTTTTCAGTCCTCCAGGCCCCTGTTGACCTAAATGTGTGACTGCTCCAGACTCGAGCTAGCACTAACACCCATCAACATCTGAGCTCACCGTGTAGTGGATAACAAGGCCTTAGGGCCTTGTTACACATTAATTTTAGGCAGCTCCTGGAGCTCTTAACCCCTGGATTGTCTGCACATTAACACCTGAAACTAGTTTTAAACACTCTTTAGGCAGCTTAAAGTTATCCCACTCCAGGGCAGATTTCTCTTTGATCCATGTTACCTAGCTCTTGTTCCATTAATATGTAGCCACTCCTCACCAATGACCAGCCCAAGTTGCAGTCCTCCAGCGTCCCAGGATGCAGTGTCCCCTTCCCCACCCTCCTGTTCTGTGGGGGCAAACTTTCCACCCCCTGAACTCTACTACACAAGGGGCATTTCTGGCACCAAGCCAACTCCCCCTCCTGCCCCTAAGGGTGTGACCTTTGCAGCCCCGTGGAAAGGATTGGGTCCCCATGAGCTGAGGCTTCCTTCCCAGGGCAGGGGAAGTAGCTTCCCAAAAAGTGCCTTCCCTCACTTCTCCCACCTCCCAGCCACCCTGGGAAGCATGACCAGCACCCCCCATATTCCAATGGCAAATTCCAATTTATTAAAATATGAGACCTTCTTTAATTTAGTTTCTCTTTATTTTTACTTCATTCTTCAGTGGCTGATGTCCTTCATTTCACCATGCTTCTCCCATCCCCATTTCCTTTCCACCTCTCATTTTATTACCTATCCCCATCCCATTAACTCTTCCAGCTTTATGTTCCTGCTGCCCACCCCATCCCACCCCACCCAGGGATAGAAGCTGTCTTGGCTCAGCAGCCCTGTAGAGGCAACTCACAGTTGTAGCTCCTCAGTCAGGCCCCTGCTCACCAGACTGCTAGTGGCATGTCACAGCTGTGCAGGTGGGAGACAGAGAAGGTTATTAGCCTTAAGAAGTGGCTGTTCCAAATTCAAGCTAGCACTAACATTGGTCAACATTTGAGCTGCTCAAAGTGGAACGTGTAACAAGGCCTTAAGAAAAATAACTCTGGTGAAGGGAACCTGGGTTCTAAAAGCAACAGAACTATTACTAAGATGGCTATGTAACATGGTTTTGTGCTTCACTGTAGCCAGTATGGCACTCTAAGAGTGAATCCCCATGTAGAGTTTTGTACCATTGACAAGTCAGAAAGTTATAACTGTATTTCTGAGAAATTCAGTTTTTGTTACCTTTATGTAACTAAAGGTAAAGAATGGAAATGGTGAGGAATGAGCTGAAGCTTTCCTCATCATGATTAGTGATGTAAAATTAGGTGTACCTGTGGTTCTTCATAAGAGGATGGGAATTAAATTAATATGTACAGGTGTATACCCAGTGATGCTGCCACCACCTGCCTTTGAGTGGGAGCCTTTTCTTGGGCACTGTCCATGAAGACTTGCAAGCTGGCCCACAAGATTCATTCTGCATCTCCTTGTGTTTGAAGTGAAGAATCTGATCCCTGATACCTGGGTCGGTACGCTGGCTCTGCCTCTGAAGTTCTGTGTGATCTAGGACAGGTTGTTTAGCCTCTGTAACTCATGTACCTATTTGTACAATAAACATTTTCCCTCTGTTCACAGCACTGTTAAACAGTGGAATTAATTAATGGTTGTAAGGACTTTGAGATCTAAAGGGGAATTTTTTTAGTACAATATTAGGAGTCTGTAATTACAGACACAAAAGAAAGTATCATGGTGAGAAAGCAAAGTCAAACTTTATTATTATATGTCTAATGGCTTCAAATCAGTACAGAAATAGAAAACAGGAGATTCACTAGCAAATAAATGAGAACCAAAGCATTGCATAGTAGTAAGGCAATTACTTTCTAGAGTAATGTACAATGCATAGGTAGGTCAGGAATAGTCAGGGATGTTGAGTAAAGGCTAGAGAGAACCAGATTAAATTGCTGTTCTTTTGGAAGAACCAAAACCCTTATCTGGAGAAACCACAGCAAAAGAAGAAGAGCTAGAAAGGTCTTTCAGGGAAGTTGGTATATGGTGCTGCCTTTGTGACTGCTTTTAGGCTACTGCACTTTCTTACTGAGTTCCTGCATTTTATGAAGCTGTGTAAGCCTTCAACAGGGCCCACTGCCCCCCACCTAGTTAGTTTTGGCCTAATGCCCCATATATAGGTAATTACAATTATTACAGCATGCTGCTGTCACCTGAAGGACTACTCTTTCCCTATCCTAGTTTCATAGTTTCATAGTTGGTAGGGTCGGAAGGGACCTGAGCAAATCATCAAGTCCGACCCCCTGCCATGGCAGGATCCTGCTAGGATATTCCTTCTTTGTACTTCTCTAAATCAACTTGCTACTTTCTAAGTGTTAAGAAGAAACCCACCACATTTGACATACCTCTTGCTGGACACTGATGCTATATCTTTCATGTTTATTGTGCTCTTAAGAGTTCAGCTTGCTTTAAGAAACTTGGCCCTGAAGTGGATTGGATTTTGACATACATAGTTCTGTGGCCCAGCTTAAAGAAAAAGACACCCAGTGTGTACTTCCCTATAAATATTTAAAGGTAGTTTAGAGATCCAGAAGAAGGAGGTATGTTGGTCCACCAGTGTGCAGGAGGCAATCAGAACTGGTTAAAAGACATGTTTAAAGCTAGTGACCTAGAGTGCTTCTTCAGTAGGAAACTGGTAGGCCTGTGCGAAGCGGCAAGTACTCAATTCGAATTTGGTTTTGGCCAATTCGGAGGGACAGTGATTCAATTCCATGATTCAAATCATTGTCCCAATTCAATTCGGCTGAATTGGATTCAAAGATTCGGCACCAATTCACTGATTCGGCCATAGACTTATAATGGGGAATCACTAAAATACTTATCTTTGGCATTTTTTGCAGATTTGGATGAAAACAGCAGGGATGGTTGTGCCTTCTGAGGGCATGAAGCCTGCCAACTTTCAAGGAGATAGGTGTAGAGGTTTCTGTGAAAATGCCCCTCAAAGTGTTAAAAGCAAAATTCATATCACTTGTGTGTGTTAAGGCAGAGTGGGATGAATGCAGCAGGGATGCTAGCCCCTTCTGAGGGCATAAAGCCCGCCAAGGTTCAAAGAGATAGGTGCAGGGGTTTCTGTGACAGTGCACCTCAAACTGTTGAAAGCAAACCTTGTATCACGTGTATGTGGTAAGTAGGCCTGTGCAAAGTGGCTAGTATTCGCTTCGGATTTGGATTCAGCTGATTCAGAGGGAAGTGATTTGATTCAGTGATTTGAATCAATGTCCCGAATTGATTCAGCCGAATCTGATTCAGAGATTTGGCTGCTGCCTAATTGGCCGAATGTCCAAATTGGCCCCATCCCCCATCTGCTCTCCTAGCCCTGTCAATGGCTGCCCCACCAGCCCCAGCTCCCAGTTCTTTGAGCAAAAATCCCAGAGACACTGGCTGCTGCCAGGCGGGGGAGGCGATTCCCACTGCCCTTTGCTTCCCCATGCCACATGGGGGGCTCTGCCATGAGCCGCCTGACCTCCGCCTCCTCTCCCAGCCCCCTCCATAGCTGTCTTGCCCACCCCAGCTCCTTGCTCTTTCAAAAAAAAAAAAAAAAAAGGCCTTGCCCAGGGAGTTGGGGATTGT